AATGAAATAAAACGACACCTCTTTACAACCATGCCCCAACATAATTAATGGAAAAAATAAACAGGCTTTCACAACAGTGATGGTACCCTTTAATTCATATATTGTTGCACAACAATTTGAGTTAATCACTCCAATCAAACAATTCTTGTAACTGTCAATGAAACTTCTGCCCCTCTCAGCAAGTATTTTGGCCCACTACTCATGAGGAAACTGCTCCAGTTTCTCAGGTTTCAAGGGTGCTTTTGCAGACGGCATGTTCCATATCCTTCCAAAGGTCCTCAATAGCATTTAGGTCAGGGTCATAAATGGCCATCACAGAAAAGTCCAATGTTCCCCTCTTAGCCATTTTTGGGTATTTTTAACTTGATGTTTTGGGTCATTATTCTGTCATAGTGCAACACATTTCTTACTACATAGTGTTAAGATTTATTTGTCATAGCCATTGTTTTGGAATGACTATGACCTGGCTGGCTGAGAATCTTCACCGGCATTTATTTGCGCCCTGCAGAGATTATTTCTTTGTCTACTGTTTTGCCAATATGGCTCTGGGAATAGTTGTCCCAGAGCTAGATGATAGCTAAACAGCTTTGTTTTCACAAGCAGACCAATTATAACTGTTGCCATAAGTTTCTGCCTGATATTTGTATATGAAACTATTGAAACTGATTTAGGTAGTAAAATCGTATACAACAGACATGGTGATGGAAAAAGGAGGTGAGAAAGAGGGGATAAGAACTAAGGGAAGAGAGAAAGAGATGGAGGAAGGAAAGAGTGCATGAATAGAGAAAAAATAGAACAAAACTGCAAAAATAGACAACACAGAAGATATACAGTAACTCCTAGAAGTCTGCTTCCACACCTGGGTGAGAAGAGAAGAACAGAAAACATATAACATAACAACAGCAAAAAGAAGACAACAGACATCCAAAGTAAACCCTAAAAAAATGCTTCAAGAACAGAAAGCTATATGTGTGGAAGGCAAAACCGATGGTGATCACACAATATTATTCCGGGTGGTATATATCTAAAGCTGTAACTTAGTGTTTAGCAATAGCGTGTATCCATGAACACCTGGAACGAAATTCCTGTGGTATATAAACATGGGTATGCTCATGTATAAGGGATTCACAAGCCTCTTCAGAAGGAAAATATGCTTTATAGCAGGTGTGGGCAGCCCCAGACTGACCCTACAAGCTCCCAAACAAATACAGAAGCAATCCCGGCCACAGATATTAAGAGGCACCACAGATCACCGGGACACCAGGAGGGCAGATATAGGTATGGCCACGCCTACCGGAGAAGGGCGGACGAGAGCACCTGGAGCCCAACCCCAGGGAGCCAAACACCAAAGCGACCCAGTTTCTGAGGCTCCTGACCACAGAGGCCATAGTGCCTAGGCGCCACAATGCCACGGCAGTGAGCCCATGGGCTCTGACAGCACCTGGACATACCAAAGGTGGACCCAGATAAGAGCTCCTGTGCCCAAAGTTATGGTAGGGACCCCACAGGGATAGGTGGCTCACCCAAGACAGCACCCCACAACTAGAGAACAATCAGTGTGCCAGCAGACACAGGCACCTGTCACTGGCAGGGAGCTTAAGAAGGGTAAGGAGGCAGGTCCTGCGCAAACACCCAACCTCACAAGTGGACAAAGACAGCTTCCCATTCATCAAGTTACATTTACATAATCCCAGCCTTACACCCATACCGACATATACAAGCACTCAGAGTTCACACAGGGGCAGACACTAAACATATCCTTACACTCCTCATGTATACACTATCCTCCTGTGTCTGGAGGCTAGGGGACCAAGGGGTAGATCCCCAGACCCCCCAGTCCTGTTAGGCTGATAGGCAAAAAAAGAGGGGCAGGGAGAGGGTGCCATGATAGTGAAGAGAGCAGAAGTGTAGCCCAAGACTAACCCCAAACACCATCCCCACTCACCCAAGGAGGCACAAACCCCCTGACAGCTCGACCACATCCCCTCCGTGGCATCCCAACATAAACTGGACACCTGCCAGAGCAGGTAGCCGAAGAGCCTCATGCCGCCCCCAGCGAGTCACAGCCATTCCAAGGCCACATACTATATACTCATGGCTGCCAGGCAATCGCAACCCAGGAAGTCCATCCCAATGGGCCAAATACGGCACGCCAGCCACCTGAGCCCAGGTGCCAGCCATCCCCCAGCTTCCCCCCACAAAACTGCAGGCACAGGTTGCCAAATGCCAAATGAAGCAAAGCAGACCCACAACATAACAGAGCCCCCTCCATGTTTCACAGAAGGGACAGTGTTCTTTCTTGATATGGTTCATTTTTCTATCTTTAAACATAGGCTACAATGAGAAGGAAGGAAAACTGCGTTTCTTTATCGAACTTTTATCGACCCTCTTTTTTTCTATTGCGCCACACTTCTATCGATCGATATATACCGTTATTGGGATGGTCTAATAGCCTTTACCTTTAACATGCATGTCTAGAATTTTCATTCTTATCCCTTAAGACAACTCTTTCCTTTACTTCCTCTGGTCTGTGTTGACTGTGGTACCTTGTGGCCAAACAGCACAGTGATCACCTGTAGCCCTATATAGGCTCACTGAATGGTTACAAGATTATAGACACCTGTGATGCTGGTTAGTGGACAAACCTTGATTTAAAAAGAACGTTTGGGCACACGTTTAGTCTTTTTTTAAGGGTACCATCATTTTTGTCCAGGTCTGTTTCATGAGTTTGTTTTTAAAAAATCTTTCAGTCGAAGTATGCTTAAAAAGTCTGAAGGTCATCTGTTTCTTCATTTTCATAGATTTCTATTGAATATTACTTTAGTCATATTCATATTATTTCTGTGACCATTGTCGTTTCTTGTTTCATTAAATGAGGGGTATCAGCAATGCACAATTGTTGATACCCCTCATTTAATGAAACAAGAAACGACAATGGTCACAGAAATAATATGAATCTGACTAAAGTAATGCTATGCATAGACATTGAGATACATTGATTGTATAAAAAAGTTTAACCCAATAACACTTGCAATAGGACCTTTGTGAGGATGTACATTTACATATTTTTTATATTTTTGAAAAGCCAAACCTTGCTTGTTTTCATGTCATGCTTTGTTTTCTATCATACCTCTCTTCCCTTGAGGTTCTGTGCAGTTTTCCTGGAGGCAGGCACTCCAGGGCGACCACTGGGACAGCAAGCACTGATGCTGGCAAGCAATGGTGCAGTTTTGAACAGCCAATGGAGGATCATCTCCATCACACAGCCAGGCATTCACAGGCCTGGACACTGAACAAACAAACAGAAAAGAACACACAGAGAAGGATAAACCAAGCTCAAGGAAAACCATACAGATTCAGCTGTATGGTGTGTGGATGTGTGTGTGTGTGTGTGTGTGTGTGTGTGTGTGTTATGGGGGATGTGTGAGTGATAGAAATTTCTGCCAGGTAATATGTTTAGGATTGGACTCCTAGCAGACATGTGGGTTGGGTGATGCAGAGAGAGAGAGAGATCAAGAAGACTCACTGCTGTCAGATTGCAAAGTATTGATTTAATTCAGTCCTGACTTGGAAGACAGGATAGCATTTATTGTTAAAGGCTACCACTTCAAACTTTGCACACCGTGGATAGAAGTTTAGCAAAGCTTATAAGGGAGTAACAAGTGGAAAGGCCAGAGGGTATTGCTCTTCTGATGACAGACTTAGGAGACCATAAAATATAGGCCAGTTGGCAGCTGAAGGGAAAACTAAGAGGCATTAAATCAAGACATGTTGAAACCAGTTTATGACTAAGTATGACAGCTGAACCACCTGTGATGAGCACTGACGTGGATCTCTTTCAGTGTGAAAGGGTATTCTTTGCCTGTCCACAACCCAGAGAGAGATCTAAATCTAATATGTCACGTTAATGTAGCTTGGAACATTGAGAGGAAAATTTCCATTTGAATAAGAGCCTGTAGAAAAATGACAAAATATCTATTTTTTTTATTTTACTCACAATAATTTGCATGATTTTTTATCTTCTATTTGAAAATGATATGCTTGTTCAAACACTGAGATTATTTTATTTTTTTCCATAAATTGTTTTTATCTTAAGTTGAATCAAAAACTAAAAAGGAACTTCACATCACAGTACATGCACTGCTTACTTTAGCCATATGTTAAGGCTTTGTTGCAACAAACTTGTCACTTAATGTTTTCATTTTTTTTCCAACCTTGTTCAAAAGCATAAGTTCACTAAACGCTAGGAGGAAATATTGATGTCTAAATTGGTATGCTTTCAACTGTCAATTTGTTTTATTCATTATGCAGCAAAGGGTGTTATTTGCAGAAAGAATAAAGAATATTTCAATTGAGACTCATTAAAAGGGCCCCACTGCGCTTAATTAAAATGATAAATGATTAATACTTAATATGCCACAGCCTGTCTCCTTTATTTTAAAGAAACATTTTTTGTCTTAATTTATGGTGATTCATTCTGTGAGGAAACTTCTTGAATCTATCATTAAGTTATCTTAGGTTATTGATTTTTGCATTTAAAATGAATCACAAAGTTTTCATTTTTTTGTAACTTCAATGTGTAGAATTTATTAGTGAATAAGCAGAGGGTTTTTCTCATGATATGATACCCTTAAATAGAAGCTAAAATTCCCCACTAAGGGACTGTAAAGGTAATTTTATTATACTAAAAACCACAGTATTACAATACAATGATGGTTAGAAAAAAGGCTTAGTATGGTAACAACAAAACAGGCTTATTTTTCTAAAAACTTTTTTAACACTTTCTTGGAGTCATTGTCAATTCTGTTGGCTCGCACTCGAGCGATCTGTAGTTGGAGCACTAATGTATTTAAGCAGAATGGAGGCCGATCCTTCTCGTTCTTCTGGATTATCTATATACTATATTTTTTTTAAATAAAATTAATATTTTAATAAAAATGAATATTTTTATTCTGTGCGACTCTAGATATTCTGTGTATTATTTTTGATAATGTATTGTTTTGATGAAAAATTGTAGCAATGGCCTTGATGCTAACATCTCAATGCTTTGTTACCTGTCAAAATATTATATATATTAAACCTTTTTTTTTAAGTAGAAATAAATCTAATTACGTTTATCAGTCAATCTCTAATTCTTTGGCATAACTTCATGTGTTTATAGTTCCGATTCTCTGTCCAAAATGATGTATTATGCTTGCTCAAAAGAATGCTACCTCATAAGGAAATTATGAAGGAAGTTCACAAAAATACAAGCAGCAAAAATATTTGAAGGGTTAATTATTTTTTTTATTTTTTTATTTTTTTTTTTTTTTTATTGAAAACTGTCCTGTCACTGAATCCTTTCTGGGGCATCATTGAATCTACAGTACCAATTTGTAAAACTTAAGTTCACCAACTTAGCTGTGTTATATTCATTTACACTTTTCTTTTCTTTATAACTGTTCCTTGGTGAAATATGTTTTAATAACTTTAAAGGTTTGGGAATACATCATTAGAGGTAAAATTGGCCATTTTTTATGCAAAGCAGGGATCCTCATGTTGAAATTGAGGACACTCTACATTTTCACTAGGCAAAGGGGAATGCTTCCACCCACATAACAAAAATGGCACTATGCTTCTAGACTTTCCTTTCATAATGAAGAATGCAGTGATAGGGTTTGTTTAAAGCATATGAACATTAACTCAACATTTAATAAAATGGAGTAACTGTAGTTACCATAACATATCTTCCCAGGAAACTGTGTTTCAAGAACAACAAACCTATTTAGCCTACCTTCCTTCTTGTAATGTGGTGCTGAATCATCAAGGACTTGAACACAGTAGGTGCTCCTGGTCTGGACCCCTTCTCCACACAGCATACTGATGTTAGCCCGCCGTCGATCCTGCTGCCCTATTAAGGGTCGAATGCGGCATTCACCCCAATCTGTAGTCTTCCAAGTGTACCTTAGTAAACACAAAGGTATGAGAAAACATTGTCATACAGAATAACTCTTACTTCTTGACTCAAACCTTTTAATATTTGTTTACACAACTAAAAATCACAAATATGTCTTGACATTATTCACTATCCAAAAAAGGGTAGTTCCTTATGATCAGGTGGAAGAACAAGAACACATTGTTTTAAGATGTTAAAAAAAACAAACAAAAAAAAACTGGTAATTATACTTTGCTTTTTTTTTAGCCAAACCAAGCCAATGGTTTGTAGACCTCACTTTTCATATAGTTACTCTCATAACTTTTTAGGGGAAGTCTCTCTCAGCTTCATAGGTCTAGAAATTGAAATTTCTACAAATTCACTTTTACAAAGAAGCTCAGGCTCATACAGAACAGGATTATGGCCACTGAAAAAATGAAAAAAAAGTTAACTGATTTTAAAATTGTGTTTCAGTTTAATATGTGAAAAAAAAATCTGAATTCTGACTTTTATCACAGAAGTCTGACTTCAATCTTAGAGCTCTGACTTTTTTCTCAGAATTCTACGGTAACTTTAATCCCAGAATTCTGACTTTAATCTAGGAATTCTGGCTTTTTTGTCAGAATTCTTACTTTAATCTCAGAATTCTGACTTTTATCTCAGAATTCTGACTTTTTTTCTCAGAATGCTGACTTTAATCTCAGAATTTTGGATCTTAATGTAGATGGGCCCAGGAAGGAAGAAATGTGGGAAACCTCAGCTTCACTGACAAAGATGTGAGTTGTTTAGGAGGGCCAGTACCACATAGGTGGAAAACAATGGAATTAGGCGACTTTTTATATGCCCAAGGGGTCCCCGATGATGCTATTTTATTAATGGAAGGGCAGACAGTGATTAAAACAAGAGAGCCAATCTCTAAAACAGACATGGCTACAGCTTGATGCTAACATGTTTGTTAGCTGTGGGAATTCAGTCAGAATTTTGAGATTAAAGTCAGAATTCTGAGAAAAAAGTCAGAATTCTGAGATTTAAGTTAGAATTCAGAGATTAAAGACAGAATTCTAACTTTTTTCCCTATATTAAACTTTTTTTTTTATTTTTTCAGTGGCCCTAATCCTCTTCTGTCGGCTCAGTCTGATTAGATCATAATGGAAAAAACAGCTGTCAGCTCTAACATACTGTCCAATGTCATGAAAATGTGCAGTTTTGCTCATTTATTTCTCATACAGGAAAGTGCATAACCCTGCTCCCCATTCAACGTAGTTACTGCTGTTTTTCAACTCTTACAGACATGGAAACATGATCAAAAATGTATGGATGTATCTTGTTGAAACTACAGTAGAAAACCCTTTAATAATAACAAAAACAAAAAAACTAATGATGCTTTGATATCAGCCTTTACTGACTTATTCAGTTTCATTCAGAATGACAGTTTTATCAGTCGCATTTTTTAGCATGATTAATTCCTTTTCTCTGTTGGTTTGATGATGATGATGATCTTTAAAAGTAAAAGTGTATTAAACATTAAAAAATACTTGCTTTTGGTTTTATTTAGTTCATTTTTTAGCTTACTGAATTTGTTAAATGATAAATTCATTGCAGTCAAAAATACTGCTTAGATAATGCCTGTTAAGAGATAAACCTGACAAAAACAAGGAAAACGTTATCCTGTTACAACAAAAAAAACGACAGTATCTCATTACAAAGATATAAACCTCTGTAATAGTTTTAGATCATATATCAGCCTTTCGCAGACAATGTTTTCACATAATATCTTCACTATTCTCAACAGTTTAAATTTTATTGCTGATAAACTATTTTGTTGCTGCTAAAACTGCTCTACATTGTACTGCTTTGATTTAATATTTTTTTCATTATTGAGCCAGCTAGAAAAAAATTCTTGTATAGTAAGCTTGCAAAATTCAGCAATAATTAAACTATTGTATTCTATTATATATTCTATTCTATTCAGATATTTTGCAGTGTTTGGTTTCTCCCACCCCTGAGAACTGTACTCTTACTGTAAAACATTGTTAGTAAAAGTATCGTACTGTTAAGACGCTTTCCCTCAGCACAACAAAAAGCAATTTAACAGGTAAACCAGAAAGTTTCACTTTTCTACTTTTTGACCGGATCAACCTCTTTGTCTTTTTTTTTCTATTTTTGTTTATACTGTATGCTGCCTTTGGAAAACTGTTACCAGAATACTCGATCCTTTCTTCAAATAATGGTACTTTTCTTACCACTTTTACATAAAGTCCAGAACTGGGAAGTGCAGAAGTAACAGTCCAGTCAGCAGAATCTGCCTCTTAATCTGTTGGTCTCTGCAGCTCTGCAAGAGTTACAATGGATCTTTTGATTGCTTTTTTTCATTATTGTTCCTCTTAGCTGGCCAGTCAGTTTAGACAGAAAGCTATGGCTTGGCAATTTACTGCACTGGATTTTACTCAAGATGTATCAGACTGAAAAGGGGAATAGGGGGGAAAATACTGTGAAACCATATACTGTATTGGTTTGCTTCAATTTCACATTTATAATCAATATGCATTGATTTTTTTTATGCAAAGTCTCAATAAAAGACACACAAAATATGTGGTGGGACAGAGACAGAATGTGAAAATATTTAAGGGAAAAAATGTTTTGTTTTTGTCAATCAATGGGAAAGAAGTTAAAAAGTTCTCATCAGACATGCAGACCTTTCAAAAGTTAATCTGCCATTTAACAAACAAATATATATCTAAGTGAATGTGAATAACAATAAACAATTAAGGAGGATTAAGATTCAGTTTATACAATATAGTTACAGCTGCTTTTAAAAAGCAAGGCAAAATATAAAAAAAAGAATCTTCCTTCTTTGGTACTTCTTTTAGTCAGTCAAAAAAACGATGTGATGATTTTTTTTGTTTTCAAAACTTCTAAATAAATGTTTGGTTTCAACTACGAAATACAGTATGCAATGATGCAGAAAGCAATAATATTTGAGGAGATTACTGGAACAACAGCCCCTGGTAATCTATCAAATGCTTAATTTCTGTAATGAGTTTTCCCCTAATCACGTAAATCCCCTGCTCTCAGGCGCTCCATTTAAATTTAAAGGAAAAAAAAAAAAAACTAACTAGCACAGAATGTAATTCTCCACTGATTACTTTGTTCAGTGCTTTTTTTATTAGCTAAAACATATTCCAACTTCAGTGCAACAACTTTCAGGAGTCTTTCTACCCTAAGCCCAAACAACTGATCTTTTTTGTTCTAATAGCATATTCAGGTTTTGTCGTTGTTCTTTTGTTTTTTGATCAAATAAAAAAAAAAGAGTCAAAATGAAAAGAAAAAAACAACTGTTATGATTAGAAGCTTAATTATGACTTGAGTTTGTTTTCTGTGGGCACTGAGCATGATAACGAAATAACATATGCTGTTTGTATGAATACCTTGGACATTTTGGAAGTAAATCCCCGATAATGTTGCAGGCCTCCTTTTCCTCAAGAGCAGGACATTGTTTTCCTCCTCCATATGGAATCTGTGTCATGATCCGTGTCCGGAGCCGATACCCAGGAGACAGGTCGGTGGATTGGCAGGTCTTTGAGCAGTAACTCCATGATGACCATTCAGAAGTTTGGCAGTCTTTGGGCATCACACACGCCTGGTAGGTCAACGGAGTGTTGTCCTTGGTACATAGACTGAAGATTGAGAAGACTCTATTATCAAGTCTGACAGAATTTGCTCCCTGATATAACAGACTTTTAGAATTCAGATAGATTTTATTTGTCATTTTGTTTACACAAGTGTAAAACAAAAAGAAATTTCATTTGGAAACAGCTCACTGGACAATTTCATCTTTTAAAAGTACAGCCTTGAAAAATAAAATGACTTATTTCTGAAACTAAAGTTTATGACAGTAATATCTGCTTATGCTTTTTGGTGTCTTAAAAAGATGTTCCTGTTCACAAAATGACATCTTGAGCTATACAACAGCCTGATCAAACTTTCATGAAAACCTTTTATTTTTACGAATATGAAAATGAAGGATGATAGACTTAGGAAGTATAATTTAATCAAAGAAAATTGTTAACACCACAGTATAAGCATTTTTATTTAAAAAAAATGTTGCAAGCTTATAATAACATTCATGGTTTGTCTAAAAAGTTAATTTGAAAAGTCATAGTTTACTGTGCACAATTTATACAGTGGGGACAATGAATTTATTCGTCAAAATTTTTTAGTGTGATATAATTTGTAAGGCTAATTTAAACCACAAATAAAAGTCATTTATTTATTTTGCCAAAGTGGTTAAAAGGAGTTCAACATTAAAATGAACTTAAATGATTCAAATACAATGTTGGGAGGTGGGAAATAAAGAAAGTTTTCTTTTTTATGGTAGTAGAATTTAAGATTATGATTTATCTTAAAAATGAAATATCTTCCTCTGATAACAAGCTTTGCTTTTCCTGGTCATGATATACAGGCCCACTCAATCACACTGTCTCAGTAAAAAGTGGTTTGAAATTGGCACAGGATCTAACAACCCACATGCTCATCTCTGATACTCAAACAGCAACAACATGTAAATAAATACGCTTTTATATTATAACGTTTAAAATAATATAAATTAAATAATAATATTTAATAAAATAAATAATAATATTTAAAAATCTCTACTGACATCTTATATCGGGTATAGTTGAAAAGTGTGCATCCACAGGAGGATATGGATTCACTATTTCTAACATCAAATAGTTATCAGGATGGAATATGTTTTGTTAACCTGATTTACTGTTTTTATTACTTCATTTTAAGACTAAATCAATCTAAAATTGCCTTTTATATTGTATTCATACTATTCTTGCCTGTAGAAAGGAGTTTATTACAGTCTCTTTTAAAGCAACAGTTATTATGATAACACTAAAGCAAATGGTAGAAATAACAGTAATAGGATTTGCAGATATCAATATTCAAGTATCGGAATTTGTTTGGAAATGAAAATATGCGGATTGACTGCTGAGTATATGACCCTGAGTTGGGTTAGCTGCATGAACTTTCCTCTCCTTTCACCACAGAGGTTTTTAGAGTGCACCACATGAGAGAGCAGGTTGTTATTGTGAATTCCTACTGTGTACTTCCTATGCCTATTTTCTTATTCTTTCTTATTAATGCCAGACATAGATGAATCTGAAATCTGCAGCATGATTTTTTCGGTTCTTTGTGGGCTTTGTGAGACAATAGATTTACATTGTTTGTATTTAGGTATTATAGCCTTTGCTTCATATTAGGGATATATTTTACAGTATTAGTGTTATGCTGTTGTAAATGTACATTTTAAAATAAAAATACACAAAACTTAAGAAGCAGAAAGTAATCAGTAATATTTTCGACACAGTTATTGAGATCCAAATAAATTTAAGAAAGGTAGGGTAATGAAAGATAATGCTGGGGAACAGAAGTGTTTCATTGGCTGCACAAAATCTGTAACAGTAAAATGGCTTGAACATCATGTGCCTTTGTGGCTAGCCAGTTATGTATGAAAATTGCTGGAGAAAATGCAACAGGCATCTTTGACAGTTAAGATAAAATTATTTTTGGGAGAAACCATTCTATAGCTTCAGAAACACATTGCTTGTTCAAAAGGACTGAGAAACTGTGATCAGGAATGCATCAAGGACAGCCAAGCTGCTAAAAGGTGGAATTTATTGAAATACTTGCACACTTCCATTACATTGATTTAGTATTTAAAAATTCATTTAATTTCTCTCAATCATAAAAATAATAATCTAATTCAGAACCAGCTTAATTTGGCCATGTTAGGTTTATAATAGAGGAATTGTAATTGCAACAGTGCTTATCAGGGTCTTCAGATAAGACAAACATATTCAAACTGCACAAAATGTGTAAATTACTTTGTGTACTTCTCATGTTAGGCAGTTCTCCTCAAAGTTGTTATTTTTTTTTTCTTTTTTGGGAGAGCAGAATAATGAAAAAAAAAGAATTTATTCAAGAGCAAATAGCGTAGCATGAGCTTTAAATTTAATATTTGCACAGGGTCTTACAGCCCTTTACCATAGGCCAGCTGGTTACATTGAACTTTAATTATAGTGCAGGCCCCGGGTGTGGTTGGGATTTAAATGGATTAGTGGACAGATCTCATTAAGTAACATTTAAAATATCACATGCCTGGAGAATCTAATGAATCTTCCAGATATATTGAGCTGTATGGAGAACAAATGAACTTTGCCTAATTCCTTTTGGTATAAAAAAAATCAGTTCATTTACTTCATCTTCTGTGATAAAAGTTGTCCATTCATAAGTACTTGAATTAGCCAATTTGCTTTCCTAAATTACTGAAAAGACTCTATTTGTCACTGAATTCAAGTTTCAGTTGATTACCTGGGCAATACAAATAATGAGCTTATTAATTATAAGCAGTGAGTACATCTTCTTTTATATTCTACAATCAGAAAGAACCAAACACTAAATACTGTAACACTATATTTATATTGAAAAGGGACGAGCCCCAAGTGTATTTAACAACAAGCTCAAGTCTATTTTTGATGCAAATGATCCCTTTGTAAAATAAAGTCACTGTACCTTCAAAGAGTATGACTAGTTAGAATTACTCAATTACAGTTACTTGAGTAAACTTTTGACAAAAATATACTTTAAGGAGAAGCTTAACTGCACCATACTTTTAGTTTTACTTGACTAACATTTTAGTGAACATATCTACTCTTACTTGAGTAAAATGTTTGGCTCTCATGAGTAACTTCACCAAATAACCAACAAGCTTGTTTCTGATAGAAAGTGATCCTCACAAAGTCACACAGTTAATGTTATGTCAAAATGAATGACCTTTTTTTGTACAAGAGTTAACCGTATTCTACCTTAAAAAGCTAACCTATAGTAAGGAGTAAATATTATCACTAGAAGTTTTTTTTTTTTT